CATGAATTTTATATTTTTTTTTTGTTTGAATTTCAAACCCCTATTTTGCAAAATCTCTTATTGGTCGGATTTCAGGAGAATGATGCTTGAGTTCCGGTTGTTTTATGCATGGATATATATGACATTAACAAATAAAATGACCTCTCTATAAATAATTTTATCCGAAATACTTTTACACAATTAAATCTTATATAACATACCGACTTTTAAATTACCCTAAATTAATATGTTCTTCCTTTGGCCCAAGCCAATCGACTCCCGATGTCGCCATCTTTTTTCGTCCATGTGTTTTTTTTCCTTTGACTCGTCTGATCAAGTCTCGTCCACTCTCTACCATATGAGATTTTTTTCATAAAAGCATTGGACAAGCGTTTACACATTGTGTTGGTGACGTAGTGAACATTGCATCATCATAAATTCATAATTGATATCCATAAATCATACTCTCCTTGATTTTTTTTAAGATCTTTTCATAATGATGATTTAGTCTCTCTCCTTCCAAACTTTTTTTGTACTTGTACACAATGACTTTAAACCCCAAAAGGTAATAAAGTTAACAATTTAAATCTAATCTTATTGAGTTCATATTGAAAATAATTGAACCCATTAGACCTATAAATAAAAAGATCGATACAAAATCTGGATAACACGACTTATACTCGATGTGAATGCAATTACGTGATTGTAAATAAGTCGAGTATAAATCGAACAAATTTAACATTACACAAATTGATGAAGTATGAATGAGAATAGTCAATTCGAATTTGTAATAGTTCACTCTCGTTCGAATTAGGTTGCAATTTTCCGAAAGACGGTTCACGTCCTCATAGTTGAGTTCAACGTTACAACGCATCACAAATTTTGGAATTATGTCGAGCTTTAATGTATACGAGAATTTTTCTTTTACCCCCTATGCGCTCTTTAAAGTTTTAATCCTTTTTGGTGTGAATTTAAGTTTTCCTCAACAATCAAGTTTTTCCTTTCTAAAAATATACTTTCCAAATCATGTGCATTGATTAATTTTCGATTCTCCAGATAAGAAATACACAAGCTTTTTATTTAAACTATCCAATGGGTTGTCCGAACTTTTTCGTAAGATCCAATCTTTTTTTCCTTCTATCCTATGAAATATGATGTTGCTATAACCCTACTATAACTATTTATAATCCACCAAAGCTCAACATTATAGCAAGTCATTTCAATTTGAATGTCATAGACCAAGTCTGAATGGTTTGGTTGGCTTCCAAGAAACTCACTTTTTTTTTCTCATAATGTGGGGCTCAAATCCCCCGAACCAATATCAAAAAGTCATCTCTATTCTCCAATAGGATAAAGTGGTTGCTCGAAAATTGATTTCAACACGAGATGAATCCAAAATTTAATCTATGTGTACTCTAATTCCCGAATTAAAATATTTCAATTGAACTCATATTCGAATTTTCATTTTTTTGTTATGCTGGGTGGATGATTTGGTAAGAAAAAATTAATAAAACAAGATTTTTACACATTAACACATTTTTATTGGATAAAACACAAAAGTGGTATATACCGGAAAAATAGGAGTCTGTTTGGTTTGCTTCTCTAAAAAAATAGTATTCAAAAATAATTTTTGGAAAAAGTTTTAAGAAATGATTTTTTTATTTTTTATATTACAAAACTGGTTTGGTTATATAGTTTTAAAAATAATTTTAAAGAACATGAAATAGTAAATTTTGTTTGGATAATGATTCACAAAATTAATTTTTTACTTACCAAAAAAAAACTTATTACTACAAAATCCTTCTCTCTCCAATCAAGTAGTCATGTCTAGAGCCTTCTCTTTCTCTCTCTCTCTTTCTCCATTATCTTTTCACACAACAAAAATATACATACACACACACAACAAACACACCCACACAAAATCTACACACACATAGATTTGTGTACATATATAGATATGAATATAAGATCTGTATGTATACACAGATCTATTGCAGAGAGAAAGAGAGGAAATAAGTTGGGTGGGACAGAGAGAAGGTTACAGGTGTTCGCAATTTGTGTAAATACACCCACTAACGCACACACCCACACAATTGCACATAGATTTGTGTTCAAATCTGTGAATATACACATATATGAAATTAGATTAGAGGGAGAGAGGGAAGAAGAGAAAGAAAGTTATGAAAGAGAGAGAAAGAGGGAGAGAGAGGGCTCAGTGAGATCAATGGAGAAGAAGTTACTGTCACCATTTTTTGTCTCCAACAAACCTGAAGGAGAGATCTCATTAATTTGAAGATGATGTTGTTTCTTGTGTTTTTATTGTGTCTTAAACATTGAAAACACTATTTTATTATTGTCTAAAATTACATTTCAATTCTCAGAATTTTTAAAAAATTAACCTAACTGTATCTTATTGGGCCTTTGTGGAGTCTGGTTTGTCTATTAATTCGGATGATGACTCAACCCGAAATAATGTTGCGTGATTTTTTAATGAGAAATTTTCTGAGGCTTGGGCCAATAGGAAAATTTTTTGGCCCTATTTTGTATCCCAGTGCGCAGGACATATAAAACCCGTTGCTTTTGTGATTAGGGTTTATGGTGTTTTGTACAGCCGCTCTCTGTATTCATCTCTCTCAATAGTAAAATTCCTGTATTTTCGTGGACGTAGACAAACTGTCAAATCACGTAAAATCTGTGTCTTATTCTTTCTTGTTTCTTATTGCTTTATGTTCTTAGTTTGTTTTTCGATTATGTGTATTTGTCTGTGAATTTAAAGTATGTTAAATCCCATTATATTTTCCTTATTCTAAAAAATTTGAGAATAAAAAATTATTTTATAAACACAAATCAAATAAGTTGTAATATTTTCGTCCTTAATCGAACTCGGATTTTCATTATGGTAAGGGGTGACATTGCAATCATATGTCATCAGAGTGACGTAGGCCATCAAGAAATTGCACTATGTGGTGCAATCAATCATTAGAATGTGAGTTTGTGTGTGGGCCCAAAGAAGAACCTTCTGGCCAGAAGGTATTGCCATCGATAAGAACGAAAGAGTCATGTGTTTTACGTGGGTAACCTATTTGGGTTGACGTAACACCAACGGGTTGCAATAAGGGAACATAATCATCAAGAATGAAAAAAATCATAGGGGTATCGTGTAATTACTACTTTTTAATTTGTATTATTTATGAAAAAGAAATTAAAGTAATAAAAATAGTAAATTAAGAGAATTTAATATGTGTTAAAAATTATTAATTAATTTATTAATAAATAATTATTTATTAAATATAAGATACCAAAAAATATTTTTGGTACAATTGTTATTGTACCTGATATGTTAAAAATCAATAGTTAAAACTTAAATTTATATTATAAAACAGGACGAACTTTCATAAATTTATCTGACGGCTTTAAATAGATTCATTCAACAGTCACCAATATCTCTCTCAAAACTATTCTCATTATACTGTGCCTTTAAAAGCGAATTAATGATAGTGATAAAAAAAAATAGGACAAATTTCATTTTACCTTTTTGTGATTTTATTAACTCTAATACCCCCCACATAACCCATTCCTAGGGGTGTTCACCCTATCCTATGAGTATGAAATATAGTCGTCCGTCTTCTTACCCGATACTTTGTGAAAGAATTTTTTATTGGCCTACTCTACCCCGATCAGGTGTGTATACCTATTCGACTTCCTACCCGATTAATCGGATAGGAAGTTGGGTAAACACTTTTGTAACTATTAATTTTTAAATCATTTTAACAATTCAATTAAATAACATGAATCAATTTAACAATCAATAACACTAAAATATAAAAATAACTACAACAACAATTACAATAAAACATAAAAAAACAAGAATATCAGTTCATCATAATTGTTACACAAATACAATGACAATTATTTTAAATTTAAATTATATGAAACACATTAAAATCATAATTATTCCAATAGATAACCAACTCACCACAAATCATGTAACCTACAAAAAAAAAATAAGTCTATGTTTTCGCAACTCAAATATCAATAACAATAACAATGTTATAATATAAATTATATCACACAAATACTCTTATAATTCTTAAAAAAAATATAAAAAAGTTAAATATATTTTTTACTGGTTGGAATGCGACAATTGATGAGTATTCTGCATTCTTACTCGATTTAATCGAAAGATCAAAAATTTTTCCGCATTCCTACCTAATTTTTTAAGCTAGTTGTTCAGTAGAGTAGGATAAGGTTGGATAGAATAGAAAATTACGGTCAATCGAAAATTTAAACACCTCTATCCATTCCCTCTCTGATACCCCATCTCCATTTCTCAAACTCAAGCAAAATATAAAATAGTCGTTTTCCAAATAACCCAAATTGCTCTTAACAGATTTAATCCATAACTAGACCTGGATGTTCAGTTGCATTGATCAAACAAATTTAGGATTTCAACTCTTTCCTTTCTCTCCATTTTTCACCTTTTCTTTTTCATCCATCCACTTTTCATTCGTACCAAACAAAGACTTAGAGAATAAAGAAATAGAATAAAATTGAAAAATATTAAAATCCCCTTAATAGCTACATGTGGCGAGCACATGGTATTTGATGAATCAAGTATTCTTTGTTTGGTTTCAAAGGAAAATCAAATGGAATGGGAAAGTGGGTGGAAAGTGATTCCATTCAGCCCACCATTTTTTTTTTCCTTCCACCATTCTAATTAAATTATTTTTATGCCCTTCACAAGGGTGCTATTTCTACACGGGCAAGATTTTTCTAGAAACATGCGAGTGTGTTTGAAATAGCTTAAAAAAAAGTATTTTTTTTGATGTTTTGACTTATCATAAATATTTTTTTAAAAAAGTAGTGTTTGGATCAATTTTTTAAAAACACTTTTTAATAAAAATAATTTTAATACTTAAATAAACTATTAAGAAAAAATAAAAAAAATTAACTTTTACTTCCCATAAGCGTTTTTTAATTAAAACACTTAACTTCTCCCCGTGTCTCTCGACCCCCCTGTATCAAATACACACTTCGGCGTCGACGTTGCGACGCCGCCAGAGGAGCTGACTCGGCTCTACGACTCGATTTTTGAGAAGTTCGACTGCGATTAGAGCAGGACCGTCGATCTCGACGAGTTCAGGAACGAGATGAGCAAGATTTTCCTTGCGATCGCCGATGGATTGGGCTCGCCGTTGATTCAGATGCCTCTTGAAGACGATGTTCAGAATTTTCTCAAGAAGGCCGTAAATCTTGAAGCTTCTAAGCTTTCTCAGGCTTCCTGAACGGTTGATCTTGATGGGGCTCCTGGGACCGTTGATCTGACAGTCCACAATATGTTGTATCTGCTACAGTAATCAGAATAAGGACTTGTCATTTTTCTTTTTTGCTTTTTTTTTTTTCCTTTTATCTTTATCTTTTTATCTTTTTTATATGTTTGTAATTGTGATACAAATAAATACTTTTTAAACTTACTATCCAAACACAATTTTTTGTAAAATATTTTTGTTTAAGTACCTTTTTTAATGAGCATCCAAACAATTCTTTTGGAAGAATAGTATTTTTTAATAAAGTGATTTTTAAAAAATAATTATTCAAAAAGTACTTTTGAATTTAACAAGCCATCCCAAACACTGCCAAAGTCAATTCTTTTTGTGACAAATAGTTTTTATTTTAGACTTCATATTTTATCCTTTCTTTGACTCTCTGTCAAGTGCAAATTTAGAATTTATAATTAAAAAAAGTATAATTTATATTAAAGGGTATGATATTAGATTGAGTTTATATATTTTTTCATTCCATTCTTTTTATTTCTTTTACTAGATAATAAAAAAATTTTCCTTCAATTTTTTCATCCATCATACCAAAAAAATTAATACAATAAAAAATCAATATAATATGATCCAATTAATTGATTACGACCTGATTAATTTAAAAAATTGTGTAACATGTTTTGGTGTTAAATCAATCAAAATTACATGTCGAATTCGTATCATATTATCATACCATATCGATAATCATCACTCTTATATATTAGACAATTTTTTATTGTATCCCTTACTAATCAATTTCGATAAATTTCTCAAAACACACAAACATTATATTTTAAACCATTTATTTAATTGATTCCACAAGAAAGTGGATGAAAAAATATATATTTTTGTACACATTTATTAATTTTATAGTAAATTGGAGGGATTTTCAATATTTTCAAATCTTGAAAAGTCTACTTGCAGTAGGAAAAAATAATTCTTATTAGTAAGGGTGTAATGGTAAATTAAATTTTCATGCCTTTTCTGTCCTCCGATACCAAACAATAGAAACGTACCAAACAAACATGAGAGAAAGTGGGGCTGCATGCATAAGAATTGGTGCTTGTTGCTTTGTATGAGGAGGGGGTGGTTAATGATTTTTAGGGGACGGAGGTCGTGGCAGGTGAAAGTGGAGGCGACAGAGTTCCAAGGCTCACTGCGGGGGTGAGGCGCGGGGGTCTGCAATTAGGGGTGCGTATTCTGCCAGAGAAAATGAGATGGTTTATATTTTTACCTCACAAATCTCTATTTTTATTTTATTAAATTATATATAATAAAACTATAAGTTCACACCCTTTTTATACACATCCTAATATTAACTAAACCTACCCATCTCATTAATAACAAAATATATCTCAATGTTTACCTTTACAGTTTCTTTCTATACCCATTTTACACAATCTATACACAAAATATACTCAGCTAGATTTCACTCTGGATTTCTTCTATGCAAATTGTTTCAACTGTCACCATTTGATATCTATCTTCTCCGATCTCATCGTCGAAATAGTACTCCGATTTCTCTCCACCCTTCTCTTTCTTACTTTCTTAATTGTCGGTCGAAGGAATTCGTAAAGAAAAGAATCTTCTTCACATGCAATTTCTCAATATCTAGAAAGAAATCTCTTAGAATCTTCGTTGTAGGCGAAATTAATTTTCTCAAAAATGAAAAGAAAAATATTATCAAGTCTCTTTCCTCGAATCACATAGTCTATGCATAATTGTTTTGTTCAGCTTTAGTAAATAATTTAGTTGAATATATTTTGTATAAACCATGTGCGATGAGGTATAGAAATAAACACTAAAAATAAAGATTGAGATAAATTTAGCTATTAATAGGGTGGGTAAAGAATGATGTAAACTTAATTACTAGTGAGATAAGTATAAATAAAGTGAACTTAATAGTTTTATAGGGTAAAAATGAAGATTTGTAGAGTGAAAATAGCTCCACCCTTATTTATATTAGTCTTTATCTTTTATTTTTCCAGCAAAATACAATAAAATATGTTCCTGAATATCAAAATGTGACCGGCAGTGGTACTTTTAATCTCTTTTTTAAACAGTAATAAGTGACAAGTGGTAAATCTTAGGGACTATTAGCATAATTTACCTAGTTTTTAATTTACCAAGTAGTTTTTTTCTTGGAATGTGAAATTTTTCACTAGCAAAACTACAGCAAAGAACCTTGTGACAATCACAGGTATGGACCACTTCTTTGTTGCGTAGGCTATATAGCAAAGAACATGGAAGTATCAGTGGCATATTCGCTACGTGATACCCGTGTAGGCATTTCCAAACAACCAGACACTTGATTAATAAGTCCCCACGAATTCGGCAATCGAGTTATATCGTTATCTTTAGTATCCCGTACTAGTTAACTTCTTTGTTGCGTAGGCACCGATTCTATTCCATGTCGTTATACGGCAGTGATAAGGACACCCAGAATTCTTGATTCCTAATATTATGGTGCTTGTTCACAGTAGCTAGTTTATATCATGTTGGATATGTATCCTATTTTAATTATATAAAGTTAAATTATATTCAATTTATAGCAAACAAATCATAGTTATATATAGTTAGATTGTATCGTGTTGAATTTGTGTTACGTATAAGCAAATATTTAGTAAGTTCATACATGTGCGTGATGAATTTCGCACAACAAATATGATGGGAACGGATCTTTCTTTTGGTGAACTCGTGTTCGTCGAGATGATGATGGATTCGGAAGTAAAGAACGAGTTAAGAGGGTCAAAGGGAGCCTAAAAAGTGGTGATGAATTGCTTTTGGGGTTATTCGATCGATCCTGAGGGGTGATTGGTCATCCTTGGCACACATAAAACAAGTTAAAAGGACGTCAGAGTATTTTTTTGGTGTATCCTTTCCGACGATTAAGTCAGTTCTTTGAGAGAGGGGATAAAAAAAGCATTGTATCGCTCTTTCTAACTTGTTTTCTGTGTGCTAGGGATGACTAGCCACCCCCAGGATCGATTGGATAACCCAAGAGCAATTCATCACCACTCCTTAGGCCCCCTTTGGTCCTCTCAACTCATTTCTTGGTGCCGAATCCATCACTATCTCGACGAACACGAGTTCATTAGGGAAGAGATCTGTTCTCATCACATCTATTGTGCGAAATTCATCACAAATCATATAAATTCACATCAATGAGAGGCTCCAGGTCATACAAGTTAGAGGATTTCGAAGAAAATACTGCACTTCGGCCTTGGAATGTAACGAATTTGAAGAAGTATTATTTTTGAGAAAGAAAAGACTTATTTTCACTAAGTGTGCTATCCTGGAAAGGGCATGGTTCCGGAGACAAAGTCTTCAAAAAAGATTCTTGCCTCCAAAATGACAAAAGGAACACAACCTCCTGCAAGGGGCATGGTCCCGGAGACAAAGTCTTCAAGGGAGATTCTTGCCTCCAAAAAGACAAAAGGAGCACAACCTCTTGGAAAGGGCATGGCCCTGAAGACCAAGTCTTCAAGAAAAATTCTTGCCTCCAAAGAAAAAAGGGGCACAGCCTCATGGAAGGGGCATGATCCTAGAGGCCAAGTCTTAAAGTAAGATTCTTGCCTCTAAAGAGAAAAGGAGCACAACCTCCTTGAAGGGGCATGACCTTGGAGGCCAAGTCTTCAAGAAAGATTCTTACCTCCAAAGAGACAAATGAGCACAGCCTCCTGGAAAGGGGCTTCACCCTAGAGGCCAAGTTTTCAAGAAAAATTTTTGCCTCCAAAGAGACAAAGGAGCACAACCTCCTGAAAGGGGCATGACCCCAAAGTTCAAGTTTTCAAGAAAGATTCTTGTCTCCAAATAGACAAAGGAGCACAACCTCCTAGAAGAGGCATGACTCAAGAGCCCAAATCTTTAAGAAAGATTCTTGCTTTCAAAGAGACAAAGGAGTACAACCTCTTGGAAAGGGCATGACCCTGGAGGTCAAGTCTTCTAGGAAGATTCTTGCCTTCAAAGAGACAAAGGTGCATAGCCTCTTGGAAGGGGGCATGATCCCGGAGGCCAAGTTTTCAAGAAAGATTCTTGCTTCCAAAAAACCAAAAAGAGCGAAACCTTCTGGAAAGGGCATAGCCCCAAAGGCAAAGTTTTCAAGAAAGACTCTTGTTTCCAAAGAGAAAATGACCAAAGCCTTCTGGATATGACATGGCCCCAAGGACATTGCCCCCAAAGGACCCAAGGAGTCGAAATCCACAGGAAAAGACTTAGCCCCAAAGACTAAAAAGGAGAAAAAGAAGGGAGCAAACACTTGGTAAAAGAAAAGCGTCCTTGCATTACAAAAAAAGAGGACTTTGCGTCTCTCCAGCTGCAGAAACAGAAACTATGTTACAAGGAAAGTGAAAAAGCAGTTCTATGGAGGACCAGTGACGTTGCTCCCAATGTTTCCTTCAATGTTGACAAAAAACTCATCGACACTAACAGAAGGAATTGGTGCTCTAAGGGATAGGAACAATATTAGCAACACTAGAGCATCGGCAAAAAAAACGGCTACACAAAGGGATAGAACATTCAAGCCCTTTCATCTTCATCTGTCACGTCTTCCACTTAATATGAAGATCAAGGGCTAGGCGTCATTGATGGGACATTTTTTGTGATCAAGGGGGACAAGACACGTGTCCTCACATATTGACTGCGGAGTATTCTTTGGACGACACGTGTCCTCGGCACCTCGAAGCTTCTTACGAGTAACACGTGTCCTCGGCACTAAAAATACCTCAGAGTCCATGACATGTTATCTGCGGAGCATTCAACATCTTGTCCACGAAGCACTCTCCACATGACACGTCATCTCGGCATTAAAGGTATCTCGAAGTCTACGACATGTTGTCCGCGGAGCACTCTCCACGTGACACGTCATCTCGGCACTAAAGGTACTTCGGAGTCCATGACATGTTGTCCTCGGAGTCTACAACATGTTTTTCGCGGAGTCCTCGACATCTTATTCGCGGAGCACTCTTCACGTGACATGTTATCTCGGTACTAAAGGTACCTCGAAGTCC